AACATTCGATCAACTTAGCTGCCGCCACACGCGTGCTTCGTTCTTGCGCGACATAAGAAGCGGATGCGGCGGTAATTACGGAGGTGGTGAATCGGGTTTGAGGCTAAAATAGATACGCACAGGTACAAGCCAGAGGGTTGATGATGAGCACCTGAAGCCCATCGTACCACACACACACAGGGTGGGCCTTCAAACTAGGGTTAGATGCATCTGCGCGGAGAAAAGCAAACGGGTGAAAGCCGCATACCCCGAGAAGCTACGTCCCCACCTGGAACATGCCCGAGCTGTGCGCCTTATGAAAGGTCGAGCTGATCTTCGCCTGCAGACTAGCGCGCTTGGACTCATCCGTCACGTAAAACTCGACCCGGCGCCCCCGTGAGATGGCATCCTCTGCGACTGTTGTACTTTCGACGCCAACTCCTAGCACCGTGTCGCCGGCGTTGGTGAACCTAGTTCGAAATCGCATCGCGGGCGGGAGGATTGTTGAAGAGAACAATCAGTTAGCGTCGCACACGATACTCGAGATTACAGAGAAAAAGCCGATGAAGCAAGTTCACGCGTTGAGGAGAGCATAACATTGAAATACGCCCTACGAGCGCCAGCTTTGCCCTCAAAGTTGGCGTGCATATGTGACANTTTGAGGCTAAAATAGATACGCACAGGTACAAGCCAGAGGGTTGATGATGAGCACCTGAAGCCCATCGTACCACACACACACAGCGTGGGCCTTCAAACTAGGGTTAGATGCATCTGCGCGGAGAAAAGCAAACGGGTGAAAGCCGCATGCCCCGAGAAGCTACGCCCACACCTGGAACATGCCCGAGCTGTGCGCCTTGTGAAAGCTCGAGCTGATCTTCGCCTGCAGACTAGCGCGCTTGGACTCATCCGTCACGTAAAACTCGACCCGGCGCCCCCGTGAGATGGCATCCTCTGCGACTGTTGTACTTTCGACGCCAACTCCTAGCACCGTGTCGCCGGCGTTGGTGAACCTAGTTCGAAATCGCATCGCGGGCGGGAGGATTGTTGAAGAGAACAATCAGTTAGCGTCGCACGCGATACCCGAGATTACAGAGAAAAAGCCGATGAAGCAAGTACACGCGTTGAGGAGAGCATAACATCGAAATACGGCCTACGAGCGCCAGCTTTGCCCTCAAAGTTGGCGTGCATATGTGACACTACTAGCCTGGCGCGAACTAAGTCCGTACCTCGCGATGAAATACTGCGATGCGGTCGGAGGAAAGAACGTCCGCGAGCCCCCGTTGGGTGCCCCGGCGGGCAAGTTTTCCAACTGGATGACATGTCGTGCGTGTGGGATGTAGCCTAGCGAGTGGCCGAACACATCCGACACCACAACACGTCTGTTGCACGTGAAGTTCAACAACCGTGTTCCGCGACCTGCACGAAACGAGGTAGGGTTGGGCAAGGTAAGGGCCAAGGTGGTTACGAGAGCGGTCATCATGCAATTAGGGTGTAGCACCCAGCGTGAACGCGTGAATACAAGATACTTGACAAGGACGCCCAAAAAACAACACCGTACCGAGAGCACTGTCAAAACAAGGGCGAGGGGAGTGAACACTAACAAGAGGATCTCAAGGGGACCTTCTTCGTCGAAGGCTATGTTAAGGCAAATTGCTGACATTCATCACCATTGCTTGAGCTAAACCACAACAACTCCGACAATACTTCCAAGGAGACGTTGGGTCCTTACATGCTCGTATCCACCTCCACAGTGCTCTCGCCCTCCGGCAACGTCACCTTCTCGGCTTTCCTCCGCCTCTTTGTAGCGCGTGCTCCGTCATCACCGGAGTCGATGTCTTCTGGGCAGTCCTTGCACACGAGAGCCCCGTCGCCTTCTTTGACGATGACGTTGCACGACTCTAGGTGGAGGATGCCGCACTTGGCGTATTTTGACCTGGGATCAGAGAAGTAGTCGTGACAGCGAAAAAAAAGAGCCCCTCCTCCTGATCCTTCACCCCCTACAAAAAGACATGCATACTGAGAGTACTCTTCGCGGTTGCAGCATTTGCACTGCACTGTAGTAACCATCCCTTCACGCTGAGTTCCGAAAAGAAAAGAACTTTCATTCATTGGTATTCCTTGAGGTTCAAACCACATGCCCGTACTCGCGGGGACACAAACGATAAATACTTACCCATCAGAGGGAGAGGACGGATTGCCCACGTCGCGAACTCGGGACTCAGGCGTCTCTTCGTCGTCCTCCTCCTCCGACGAGGAGGAGGAGGACGAGGAGTAGGTGTCTCCCTCGTGCTGTTGGACGAAGACGTCGACGTCAGACATCCTCTTATCCCACGCGTCCATGAAGGGTCGCATGTCCGAACTCTTCCTTGCAAGCTGGGGAAAATGCGACGAACAAGCAACAACGTCGAGAATTGCGGTGAACGATTCGGGCCGCAACAGGCGGAACGGCACCGCTAGGCACCTAGCAACCCAAATAGCGAGTATTGGCACGTTGCATGTTCAAACATGCACTCCAACATACTTTGAAATAACCGCTGCAGAATAATAGGTTGTGATGTAGAGCAGCATCTAGCAGCGTACGTTTTCTATACAACGGTTCTTGGAACAAGAACGCATGCCACGAGGGCATGAGAACAAGGACACGGGTACGCCCACCTTATCGAGCTTATTGGTGAGCTTCGACTTGATGATACAGACATGCTCCTCCGTCAGCTGGGTACCTCTCTTCAACAATCCAGAAAGGTGCTCCACCTCCCTGTCTCTGTCTTGCATGTGACCAATCCCCCACGTTTCCCAGTCCGTGTGCCTACCGTACACTATCGCGAAAAACGCCCTGCGCGCACGCCGTTAAGGGGGACGCAACTTTCTGTCGGTTCGACCCGGATTTCTGTGGATGGGAGATGTTGGGAAGGTTTCGGACTATTCGTGAGGTACGCGTGCGCGCGTCGAGCGGCGTTGCAAAGCTTCCCGCTCCCCATTCCCTCCCGATGTTCGCACTCCCTACCATGACGCCACGAAGAACCACGCCACGCACCCCATCACCCGAGAACCGAAACAAAAGTCAACGCATCACAAGCTGCTCACTTACTTGTGGAACTCGGGACTCCAGTGATAGAACGGGATGACGGAGGTCACG